GTATAGGGAAGGAATGAGGACTGGTCTTAGATATGTGGACTGGGATCTCCATGTATGCACCCTGGGTCCCTCATGATGAGGGATGGAACCAGAAGTGAACAGCAAGGAAAGCAGGCTATGAATGAGAGGTCTAGTACCAACCCTCCCCTACAAAACCATGCTCTACCCCAGAACTGCAAGGATTCTGAGAATTCTAAATTTGATCCTGACCTTCTAGGTGGTCAGGATTCATCAAGGTGGAACAATAGGATACATTTATTTAGCAGCTCGTTAACTTGATAATATAAGTTTTAAATATTTAGACATGTAGTGTGCAGCCCTCCATTTGTGCTCTTGCCTGAGGCCCCACAAATGTCAAGTTGGGGCCCAGTGGAGACATAGACAATAAGCCACACTTTCAATAAGCACGCCTGTGAAGAGAGAGCAAGAGGTAAAGTATCAAGATAGGAAAAAGTGTTTTGTTTTGTTTTGTTTTACTTACAATGGGATAAATTTACACGTATTTTACCCACAAAAGAAAATTTCCAGTAGAGAGAGAAGTTGGAGATACAAGGAGAGAGGAGGTATCTATAAAGCATCCCTGAGGAAATAAAAGAGTATGAAATTCACAAAATGGTGGTGGTGGGCATTAGCCACAGAAAGGAGAGCTCCTTCCTCCAAGTCAGGAAGAGCAACTCTTGGAATTGGGATGTCCAGGGGAAGGTCATGGGAATGCGTAGCTGAAATGAACTTAAATTGAACATTTAAGAGCTGTCTGCATTTACCTTTTATCTGTCCTTCCCGGAGCTCTGACAAGTATTAAATACAATGAGAGGTAAAGAATGTGAATTACTCTAGAGAAAGAAATTAGCAGTCAGTGCAAGTATGCCATATAGAAGTGAAGTTGGTAATTTAGCTTGTGGAAAGAAATCTGGATTTAAACATTACTGCCAGAAAGATTCTTTTTTAAAAACAAGATGACTAAATGTCAGATTAATTAGTATAATCTACTTCCCTCATAAATCCTGTACTATAATGCTCAAACTTGATTTTGCAATGCCTAGTTACCTCAAGAGCAATTGCAAAATTGTACCCAAATACTCAAAGCAGGTTGGATCTTGACTCACCTTAAAACTTGTAAATATATATGCCCTATGTCAGCATTTTGTAACAGGGAGGAGAAGTTGTAAAATCAGACTAAAATAGTAAGATTTCATAATGCCCGAAAGCATGTTGACTACTATACTAAGGAGTTGAATCATTTTAAAGTCCCTGGATAGACTGGATTGAAGTCATTGATATGATAACATAAGTGAGAAAATTAAGATTGATTTTGAGGCATGAGACCAAGAGAATGGAGCAAGCCATTCCAGCTTAACACCCAATTTAAAAAACTACATACTGTGTATGTTTACAGCCAAACAGAGTCATTCTAAACACCATGTTCTTCTATACTCAATGGCAAACTCTGAACATGCCACGGTAAAGGGATTCCCTGGCCCACAGGTTGCCTTGTCTTCTGAATATGGACCCATATATCTACTCTCCATTCCATTCTCCATCAGATACACTCCTCTTACCATGAAAGGTTTAGAAGGGTAACAGAGGGGTCTAGCTTTCAGAATTTAAACTAACTCATTCCCATCAAAAATAATAATAGTTCAATAATTATTAAATTTATTTCCAAGCTAGATTACAAAAGTCTTTTAGCCCACATCATAAGCAAAATAATTCTGAAATGAGTCTATGGAAAAATATGCTCTGCGTTTAACCAACAACCAACTTAGGAAAAGAGCTTTTGGAACCTGACCCATTCCTATATTGGGAAGGATTCAATGGTTTGTTCTTGTTTCCCCACCCCCCACCCCTTGTTCAGTTTATCTCTTAATATAATAAAGTCCTTCATTTGCCATATGAAGACGGTCATTCTTTATTTGGGACTCACTCTATAGCCCTTGTTGATCATCATCAGTTAACCAGATGATTGAGTATGAACCTCCCATACACACTGGCATCCTACATGGGAATTCTGGTCCTCCTGGCCCTGGATTGACTCGCTGGCAGTGACGGAGAAGCATCCATCAACACCCATCCTGACACCAGCAGAAAGGAGAGGTTGGAGAGAGTAGGTGAAGACATGGAGGACACTGGGATGTTTCTCACCTGCAGTTACTCAGATGGAAGGCAATGAGAGCCTGGAACAAAGGAATGGCCTTTCAGGCAGGGAGATTTGGGTAGGTAAGAGAAGCAGCAGAGGTAAAATCCATAAGAGTTGTCAGCTAATTGCTCATGGGGTGGGATAAGGACCATGAGGAAGGGATGAAGACCTGAAAATCTTCTACCCTCCCACAAGTGCCAGTGCTCCCATCTCCTCTGTGTTCCCAGAGGGTCTTCTTCCATTTTCTCTGGGTATGAGTCTTACTCCCAGGCTAGACTATAAATTAGATGAAGAAAGGAAACATGTCTGCTTGATCTTTCATTCCCTAGCCCCTAGGTGCAGCACCTAGCACCCAGTGGTTTATCAATGCAAGTTTTAATGGTCACCCTCCTGCCCCATGAGGAGGCCCCACATGTCTCCCTTTCAGAAACAAGACTAGGTAGAACTCCAAAACACTCCTTTCCTTGGGCTCCACCTAATCAGTGTACATCCTTCTCTACCTGCTGCCTGCTCTGCTGGACTGCAATACCTCTTTAAAATGAATCAACCCTCTTCAGAATCTACTCCAAAATGTCCAGCAAGTTTTCCTCTTTTCATCCTGCTTCCTACCACTCTACCCCATTCCTTTCTATTCCCTAAAATCTAGTCTTTTTCTAAACTCACGTACACATTTTTTGCTAGGGAATTTTATCTGTATTTTGGTATATTCTGACTATTTCTTTTTTTTTTTTTTTAAGATTTTATTTATTTGACAGAGAGAGACAGCGAGAGAGGGAACACAAGCAGGGGGAGTGGGAGAGGGAGAAGCAGGCTTCCCGTTGAGCAGGGAGCCTGACATGGGACTCGATCCCAGCACTCTGGGATCATGACCTGAGCCAAAGGCAGATGCTTAACAACTGAGTCACCCAGGTGCCCCATATTCTGACTATTTCTTAGTCAACATAAGAGAGAGCTTCTCTTTTTAAGGGTGGAGTCTTGCACAATATCCTCTTAGTTTTCATATGCCTTCTTTCAAGGCCCTACTGAAATATTCTTCTGTGCCTCAAAGCTAATGGGGTTTTGCCCAGGGATTATAATGGCTGAGTCCAACACAGAGTGGTGTAGCTGTCTATTAACCATTCCTAAGTGGTAATGGAGAGCTCTGCAGCTCATCTTTCCTATATTCATAAATTTGGACCAGTTTCACCTAAGAGTATTTTCTTAACCACTTTAATTCAACTTGAACCTACCTAAGACATTGAATCTGACAAATATTTATTAAGCTCCCCTATAAAAGGGACGCTAACAACTTCCTGTCTTTTCATAGGATATCCAAGATTATCTTTCAAGTTAACCCCCATGTCTATTTCTCCAAGTATCAACTGTAAACATAAAGATTTCCACTGTTTAAGCTTCTTTTAAATTATTTCTGAAAATGTTTGGTAACCTGGTGCCTTATTCTTAATTAGAATGTTTCCCCCATGATGATTAATTTCATTTGTCATGTTGGCTGGGCTATGGTGCCCAGACAGGTGGCCAAACATTATTCTGGATATTTCTGTGAGGGTGTTTTCGATGAGATTAACATTTAAATCAGTGGACTTCGAGTAAAGCAGATTGTCCTCTGTAATGTGTGTGGGCTTCATTCAATCAGTTGAATAAAACAAAAGACTGGCCACCTCCTCCCCCCAAACAAGGGACAATTCTGCCAGCAGACATTCTTTGGACTTGAACAGCAGCAACGGCTCTGCCCTGGGCACCAGCCTGCCAGCCCTGTTCTCCCTGCAGATTTTGAACCTGCCTGCCTCCATAATCATGTGAGCCAATTTTTTAAAAATAAATGTCTTTCTATATGTAATTTACACATCCTATTGGTTCTGTTTCTCTGGAGAATCCTGAGTAATACACCCCCATTCACCATCCAGGTCTTTGAGATAGAAAATTTCATCTTGGCAAAAGAGAAACTTTGAGTACTTCTGAGAGCTTATTGGAGATTCTGATTAAAGATCTATAGAAGGAAAGGAAGAAAGGATGCTCTGGAGGTCTGACCCATGACCGGGCAAATGACATGGGGGAATGAATCCCAGGGAGAAGAACTAAAGGAAAGAGGTAGCCTCTTATGACAGTATCCCAGAAGTGATCTAAGAAATTACATAGGTCTCTGAGAGGGTATCAGTAATCAATGCAATTTAATTAATTGACTTTAAAATATGTTAGAGTTTTATTTTCAGGTTCCATTGTATATTTTTTGTGTATTACTCTGTGCAGTTACTTCATCCAAAACCACAGGGGACTGACAGAGCACCAAATCCACATCAAAACCATTTGTATGATATTAGTGTTGACACAATGCTAGAGTACAAAGTATCTACTTTGCTTTTCCACTGTTAATTCCAGTCCTTACTGCTCACAGAAAGCAGTAAAGCTTTCCTTTTCTCATCTGCCCCTTACAGATATGCCCAGTTTATGCAATGAATAAGTTTCTGCAAAGGTATGTATTTGATGCATACCTTTGTGAATTGCTTTATATTTTGAAGACACATTAGAGGAATTGGCTATTTCAAAGAAACTTTACAAGTATCTGATTTCTTAATGTCATAAGTCATTCTGATTCAAGACCATAACATCTCCCTGATGCATTAGCTTATGAAGTTCTAATTTTTTGCTTTAGAGGTTTAATTAATGTAAGATAAAACTATATCTAATAACGTTCATTTGCCTAAAAGAATTATTGTAGAATGCCTAATGTATCACCAGAAAGTAGTTTAATGTCTCAAATAAATGCCAAGTTGTTCAAATCACACTGATTGACAACTTCATTAGGTATAAATGTCACTATTATCCCTACTGTCCTGCATTTTTTAGGAAGAAAACATTCACACGGTGAAGGGAGTCAGAATCTATTTTTATATCCCTAGAGTTATAAACATTTGTATCAAAATATTTACAATTATAGTATATGAAATATCAATCTATTAAAGAAGCCAAATACAGTACTAGAACAACCCACCAATGTAATGCAAATTACATGAGACATAAATGTCACAGAAATAAAGTAAAAGACAAGGGAATACATGGTTCACTCCAGTCATAGTTTGACTTTTCAACATAATGCGAGTATCTCTTTTGGGTATATCTGATATGTAAGTATGCTTCTGCACATAAGACAGCCTTCTATAATCATGTGATAATTAAATCATAATTAAAAAGTTCATCATCCCACAGTTTTTGCTTGCCATCTCTCTCCCCCCAGCCCAGGTAATCTGGTGGCCTGCCCTCAATATTCCCTTAACCAGAATGAACATAGAGCAATACACTTAGTCATAGTCCTTTTACATAAATACCAGCAATCATGGCATGACAACCCCCAGAAAGGAAAATTATGTAAGAAATGGAATAAGGAGAGAGCTGGGAGAAGGAAAGTAGGCAAGATGTCTCAGATCCCCCCCTGGGGTAGATCTTCTTCTCAGGTAATAAAGGAAATTTCTTCCCAAAACAACCCCTTTCAACAGAATCTGAGATGGCTCAGCTGCTCCAGGCCAGAGCCATGCCTGCTTACCCAGGAATAACATACTGCTACTAAGTCCTATAGAAATGCTCCTATGGCAACAGACAGCCCAATCGCCAAATGACTGGGTACCACGAGAGTTTTTGCTTTTTATTTTTTCTCTTAAAGAAAATATCCACCCAACACCTATGTTTTTATTTGTCTCGTGGGAATTTTCTAATTTTCCCGGGAAGGCAGGCACTCTGTTCTAATCATGACCGAAATCTAGTGTGCTTAATACTTTCCGATTATATAGCACCTTTCACCCAAGGATCTATTTGGTTTTAGTTTATGTTTTACTAAGCTTCCAGAATTGCCCTGCCTCACCTGTGGGAAAGGCAATGGCTCCAGCCCATGTCAGAGAGAGAGCTACCACTGAGCCTAGGAGTCCTGATCCCCAACGCAGATAATTAGACAAAACGTCCTCAAAAGTTATAATTTAGAGGGAGAGTAATAAATCATGTTACAAGGAACCATGTCCATCTCTTTCCCCAGTATGTGCTCAAAAGAAACACTGACTGCATGGACAGGGGGATCCTAAAAACATAACCCTACTGTAGGACTGCCACCAGATTGCCCCTTGGTCCCATAATTTGTGTGGTGCTTTCACCACGGAATTGGTCATTAGTGGCTTTACAGAAATGCCAAAAGAGCTGCTTTGGCTTTAAGCGAGAGGCCTAGCAAAGTCCATAGCAAGAGGTCTCTGGGAGGGACAGCTGTGTGAGGTCCGGTCTGGGTTCTGATCATCCCCCAGGCCTTCCACTGTGAAAAGTTCTCTTTCCTGGTTTAACTCACCCACCAATTTGGCCTTAGGACTATATGTCTTTCTCCCATTTCGTCACAAATACCACTGAGTTCCACAGAGTTAAATATCTGTTCTAAAGAGGGATAATGGCTCACTGGCCAAAGCCCTCGTATGGGCCCTTCAGACCGGAATGTGATGTTTTGCTTTGGGTCAGAAAGGCACGATGGTTTCCAGGCTTAGCATATTCAACACAAAAACAAGATCTGCTCTTGCTGGAACTTGTACCGCTATTTTAACTTGATGCAATCTGTCTGAGGACGGCAGCACGAGACCCAGAATTCAGCCTCAGGAGTGAAGCCCATGGTGTGACAGTAGATGGGGCCCCAGGCAGCGTGTGTAACTGAGAACAGCTGAAGGCCAAGTCTGGTGGCTGGAGAGAGGCTCTCCGGCTGCATCCGGGGAGCAGCGGAGCGCTAGCCAACTACTTTCTCCCAAGGGCAGGGGCTCACCGGCAGAGAACCTCCTTGGGAATGGTTTGGATTTCAGCCTCTCCCACCCTACTTCCCCTCCCCGCCCCCCTCCCCTCTCTCGGTTTTTCCTGCACAGTATCTCCCACTTCCCTCCCAGATTCAACGGCTTCCTTCTCCCCACCCCCCGGATCCCCGTGAATTTGTTCGGCCTTATTTCTTTCTCAGGACTAGATAGAGCACTCCAATGATGAAGCTAAAGCAGAAGCAGATCCAGGTGAGGATGAAGGAGTAGCCATGGTGACTGGTCGAGTAGTTGGTTCCATAACCACCAGCATAATGATGAGTATAGATGGACACCCCAACCATAATGCACAACCCTGCAAGGGGGACGAAGAAAAAGTCTCATTTTCCGGGTTTTTTATATTAAAACCAAGAAAAAAACTGTATAACTTTTAAAAGATCCTATTTCAAATCTGGCTGTTTAGCCCCATACGATAGTTCTGTTGATTTGCCCTGAACCAACCAACCTTGATGGTTGTGCTGATAAACTGGAGGTGTTTGGGCTCTCACACCCACACTGGTTTGTGTAGCTACAAGTGTGAAGTAAAACACAGAACTTCCCGTCCACCACCCAGCTTTTCCTTCTGGACCCCAGCATATGCAGGCAGGCTGCCCAAGATGCAAAAGAACACAGACTTGCACCCAATTGTGTGTGTTGGGGGAGAACGGCAGAATAAAGAGAACAGCATGACTGGCATGCACCGTGGCAGTGGCTTCGTCTAAGGACGCCCACCGTCCTGCCTTCAAGTGTCATGTGTGCAAGTGCTTACAGTGGGCATGGCCTGGCCACTTGGTGGCCACCCGCCCCCGCCACCCCACCCCAGGAGCACTAGGTTTAAACATGGCAGTCTGTTTAAAGCAGATGACGGTACTTATGCCAAGCACCCGCAGGGGTTCTCAAAAAGAGAACAGAAGAGCAGAGGAGAAAATTGTCCACGTGCCATGTGCTCATCTGTCCAAACTGCCAGGAGCACCCACAGTAAGGCCGCCCTAAAAGCTTTTCTGGCCATAAACCGGAGCCCACCCCTATGATACTCACAGCACACGAGCATGGTGGCCCCCGAGAGGAAGAAGCGGTTTCCTTTCTCCATGGTGAAGAGCTGGAACACGAAGACCACGAGGGAGATGACGGAGAAGATGATGGAAAGGATCATGAAGGCCTGCACCGCCTTGAGGGCGTCTGTGGACACAGGAGGAGGAGAACAAGGGTATTGGGCTAAGCAGTCCCCGGCAGGCTGCACGCCTCCCTGACCACCGGAATCGCCCCACCAAGCTCAGCCCTCTAAGACATACCTTCACTGGCATATGACAGGATGTTATCACAGCCGCCGCTGGTACAGTTTTTCCAAAGACCAACTGATGCTTTGGTAATATCCGAAACCACCCAGACCTGAAACCAAAAGGAAACAAACAGTTGTTTAAAAGCTGACCCTCATGGGGCGCCTGGGTGGCTCAGTCGTTAAGCGTCTGCCTTCGGCTCAGGTCATGATCCCGGGGTCCTGGGATCGAGCCCCGCATCGGGCTCCCTGCTCAGCGGGAAGCCTGTTTCTCCCTCTCCTGCTCCCCCTGCTTGTGTTCTGGCTCCCGCTGTGTCTCTCTCTGTCAAATAAATAAATAAAATCTTTAAAAAAAAAAAAAAAAAAGCTGACCCTCTGCTTTAAAAGGAAAAGAAATAGCAAATCAGATTTGTGTCCGGATCGAATCTTCGGCAACACCCCATACTGAGCTCCAAATATGGCTAAGCACCCCACCTCTTGGTGGAAAAGAGGTGTGACCAAAACTGAAGCCACAGATGTGCCAAGAGAAAAGATGGAAGATTGTGTGACTGAAGAAAAATCACATAGCTTCTCTGGGCTTCACATTCCTCATTACTCAAAAAAAAAAAAAAAAAAGGTAATTCAATCATAGTGGTTTAAAATTCTGAGGTTCTGAGAAAGAGAAACATCGGATGAGGCAATCGGTTTTAAGTATGTACCATCCATATGCTCTATCAAGACCATTTTAGGGGCATCTGGGTGACTCAGTGGGTTAAGTGTCTGCCTTCTGCTCAAGTCATGATCTGGGGGTCCTGGGATCAAGCCCCACAGGGGGCTCTCTGCTCAGCGGGGATCCTGCTTCTCCCTGTCCTTCTGCCCCTCCCCACTGCCCATGCTTGCTCTCTCTTTCTCTCTGTCTCTCTCTCTCTCTCAAATAAATAAATAAAATCTTAAAAAAAAAAAAAAGACCATTTCATGTAAGGGCCCTGAGGGGGTTAAAAAAAAAAACACGCTCAACTAGAGGCAAATACGAAACATATCGACAACGAAGAAAACAGCAATGAGTCTTGGTGTCAAGAAGTCACTTCCATCCAAGCAGAAGGATGTGGGGGCCCCTGAAAGTAGAAGAGTGACCAACATGTATTCCTCAAGACTCACTGTGGTGCCAGTGTCCCTTCCCACCCGGCCCAAGGAAAACAATTATTCTTCTGGAAAACAAACACCCGGCTTGTCCACGCAGAGCACCTATTAGAATGAGCACTGCTGGAAGGCCAGGGCCAAGGATGTGTGATCACCTGCTCTTGATTCAATAAACAACTATATGCCAAGCCCTATATTAGGAGCTGATAATTCAGATATTCAGCACTTTGGCACCCACTAAAGCTGTCTGAAGTCACTTATCAGGCTTGTTACCCTGAGAGACTTGGGGGTTGGGGCCCGGAATGGCTGACCCGCAGTCTGGAGGAGGGCTCATGGGCTAGGATTCTTAAATCAGCCTTGCTCCTGGCGACCACATCCACCAATGATAGCCAAACTCTCCTATCTGAACTTCAAAACCCATTTGTCCTTTAACTGTAACATGGATCTATCAGATTCTGGAGCCACCATTTGCCCGTCTAGTGATGGATGGCCTTGACTTTTGTGTGCCAGGGGCTGTCTTTTTTCTTTCTGAGAACAGCACAATAAAAGCAAATGTGGTGCTATAAACGACCGCTAGAGGTCAGAGTAGCCCAAGGTTCAGAGAGAAAAATATTTTTTACATTGTTTTGCTTGAGTGAGTTAACTCCCTGGAACCAGGTTAATCTGGCACAATTCCACCTTCACATGCTCTTCTCAGTTCAGAATTTGAATGTGTCAGTCTGGCAACCAAAGCCTCTCATCGTTTCTCTCTCCCCTCTATCCTTCGAATCAAGGTTCCCAGAAGGAAAGGAAGCTCTGCTCTCACCACATGGGTATCCCCATGCTGCCCTGAACAAAGCCTCTCCCTCTCACCGGGGCACCTTGGCTAGCACTCCTGACTGAAATGCATCCCTGTGCTCTTTCTGCCATTCATCTTCCGCCAAGAGACCCCGCCCATCTACCCATCCTCCAAGCTCTACCTCCGGAGAAGGTTCTGCCAAGGACTGGAGAAGCCTCATTGTCTTCTCCAGCCTCTAGCCGCCCACAGCCCCGGCGGGATTACTCTGGTAGACACCGGCTTTTCTCCTCCTGCTATTTCAGTGTTTGACGTGCCAGTGGGTGCTTTTTTTTTTTCCCACAACGAAACTGTATATTCCCAAGGGGCAGGGATTGTGGCTCAAACTTCTTTTGTAGCACTTTATGTAAATATTCAGATAATTTCTGGGTGAATGAATGAACAAAAGAACATATTACTCACATTGGCAATGGTGGAGACAAATAACATGATGACAGTGGCGATGTGGACCACAAAGATACCAGCCAGTAATACCAACATCTTGGCTTTTTGATGCAACGAAGAGTTCTGAAAAGAAAAGAGAAGATAAGGGGGTGGGGGAGAGGTTACTGTCAGATTCAATCAGACGATTCAGCTTCCCCACACGTGTGGACTATCTGCTAAAATCAGGAAGAATTTCAATAAAAACCATCCCGATTTCATTATAAATTCCTGAAAACCTCTTGTTAATCTAGTTTCCTAAGTGCCTCTTCATCTATTTACATATACTTAAATATAAACATAATTCTGCTTCTCAAGTATTTATATACTCCTCTCTCTAATAAAGCGTGTTTCCGGAAACACACACACATACACACACACACACAAACTTTATCACTATTCATGTTTTATTTTGTTTGTGTCTTAAGAACCAAAAGAAGACTTTGATCTTTTAAAAGGCCTTTTTGCAGCTGTAATTTCCAGGTCTCTGTGCAACAATGTCCCATAAATTTCCATTTTCCACTAGGGAAGCGTCTGCGGCTCTATCAAACTGTTCGCCCCGTGACATTAATAGAAGTGGATCCCTTCTGCCAAATAGCAGCTAACACTCAATGCCCATAGACTGAATAGGCTACTCATTTGCTCCCGGGTGAGATGTAAAATGTAAGAGCCACAACTTCTGTTATTACAATGCTGTTTGGTATTCAATAATTATAACAACCTAATTAAAGTGTAATGGTCTGATCACCTACTGATTGAACATTTCAGATCTGTATTGCTGCACCTGAGCCTTGGGGCTGTATGTGCCTCATGGTAGGGACTCTGCTATTGGTCTGGGGCATAATGCTGTGTTTTCTTTGATGCAGTATGTCCGTTCTGGGGCTTTTGAACTATGCAGACTGAAACACCACTGAACGGGCCTTCTGTTTGTGCATGACATTTACACATCGTCCAATCCTTCAGGAGTCCATGGAGAAGATAGGCAAATGCATAAATCACATGGTGGGAGGATTGGGAATGAATATGGATTAAGAATGGGCATAGATAGGGGCGCCTGGGTGGCTCAGTCGTTAAGCGTCTGCCCTCAGCTCAGGTCATGATCCTGGAGTCCTGGGATCGAGCCCCGCATCAGGCTCCCTGCTCGGCGGGAGGCCTGCTTCTCCCTCTCCCACTCCCCCTGCTTGTGTTCCCTCTCTTGCTGCGTCTCTCTCTGTCAAATAAATAAATAAAATCTTTAAAAAAAAAAAAAAAAAAGAATGGGCATAGATAAACCAAACTGTTCAGCCATAATCTCAGCAGAGGAGAAGGGAGCCCATTGATCATAAAGAAAGTGTGAAGGATGCACATGGGAGTGGCTATTCTGATTGATGTCAGCTGCAGAGGGAGGGCTCCGTTCAGAGAGCTGCAGGTTATTCACACCAGGGTGGAGGTGTGGATGTCCCCACCTAGGGAGGAGATGGCTGGGCACATCCTGCAATTGTCCCGCTTCTCTCTCTCACTCCACCTAATTTAATTGAAGCTTTGAGCCTGCTGGAGCCACTTTCCTATTGTCCCGGGTACTTAGTGGCCAGCACTGATGCTCGTCTCAACACTCCAAGTGCCTTTTATCTCCTCTCACTTTCCCCATCAGGTATTCAAAATCTAAAATGGTCTTTAAAAAAAAAAAATCTAGAAAGTTCTCATGTACACGAAGGGGCCTTGCTCTTTGCAGGCCAGGAATGAGAGGCAGCCTGTGGCTTCCCAACCTGCTCCAACAACCCCTGCCTTCCTTCCCAGTCCCAGCATTTCCCTCCAACCCAGGCTACTTTGTAGGGATTTGTCCAATTTCACTGTGAATGACAAAAATCATGAAGTTTATCCTGCCGCCTCAGGGGAGAGCTTGGAGCTTTCGTGCCCACTATTAATAATCTCTCTGCACATTCAAATTCATTTTTGCTTCCCGCGGGTCACGCATACGTCCACAATTTTCTGCTTTACTTTAATGTACAGTGAAAAGAGGTTTTTGAGTTAAACAGGTTGAGTTAGAATCATCTAGTTATGTCCTTCCATTCTCAGTGTCCTCCTCTATAAAGTGGGGGCTGTAATGCCGATCACACAGGAAAATACGAGAGTTATGGATCATGTTTGTGAAACTAGCAGCATCCACCACACGGCAGATACTAACGGGGCTGCTTTGGTTGTGGTTATTAGCATTACTATTAATATCCTGTGAAACTGAGAGTAGCTGTTACCAACATAACAAGTCAGTTAGTCACCAGGCTACCCCATGTTAAGTACAAGTAATAGGATATCTGCTATGTACTTCACCACGTGGTGTATATAAATCATTTTGGTCCTCTTAGAAATTGCCATTATGCCTAATCCCTGCCCTGTGAGTGGGGAGACTACTAAGAACACACCCTCAGGAATCAGAAGGAGAAAGCTCACTCTTCTCAACCCTGACCGTCCTCCCGACACCCCCAAAATTCATACCATCACTGGATCCCTGATCTTGCCCTTCATGGGGAAAGGAAGAGGCTGACTGTAGGGAATTACAAATATTACATAACAAGTCATATGTTTAATACTCTTTGGGCTCTATAAATGTCTTTTTTATTCCTTTGACTTCTAACTGACAAACATCCTCCTCCTAATAGACGGAGGTGGTTGAAGGGCCCAGAACAGAGTATAATACACCAAGTGAGGCCTCTTAAATGAGGTGGAGGAAACACTGTGAGTTCCCTGCCTTACGTGTTGTTGGGAATTCAGCAACCCTTTCTGTCTCCTTGGGTTGCTATGTAACCCTCCAGAGTAAGTCTCATTGCTTTCATCCCTGCTCGCCCTCTCCATTTTGATGACTTGACCGTTATTGCATTCCATGTACCATCTTCCTACTGCACCTCACTTCAGCCCATCCACTGTACCCCTAGCCTCCGGATCTCACTCCTGATCTAAGGGTAATGGCCTTATGAACAAGAGGTCTAATAGTGCCCTGCTGTGTAGTGCTCCCTGTTTTTCAGGGCCTGGCATTTCCCCATCTGTGTTGCGTGTGCTCTGTTGTTGTGTCCTGGCCACTTTAGCCCAGGCCAGTTGTCTGCAGAGGCTCTCTTTGCCTGACATGAGCAGTGTTTGGTCCCTGGCCTGAACATGGTGCATTTTAACTAGGTGTGCTCTGGTCTGCTTGTGAAATGAGACCCATTGCCACTGCTGCAGGACCCAAGTCTGGATCTCACTGCTGATCTAAACCAAAGCCCCACCTGATCATTATTGCCTTGCCTGGTGCAGGCCGGAGGAGTGGGTCGGGGAACTGAGCAAAGAGGTGACTCTCTTTCTTCTTAGATTCCTGTGATTTTACCACATCTGTCCACCAAGGAAAGGAGCAAAAATGTCTTGGGTTAGCTGGGGCTCTTATTGTAAGGAACACGTAATTCCCTCTGCTTTTGGCTGCTGCATCCAGCCGGAAGTAGGGGCTAACTAGCTGGAGCTAGTACACAATGCATACAGCTTCTCCATCTTTTCACTGCCCCCCAATTTCGTAGGTTTCGTTAGTGTCATCCATTGTCAGCTTAGAGGGGCTTCCATTGTTTTCGGTGGCCCTCCCCAACGCATTTGGAAGCAGAATGAACTATCTTCTTAAGTTTCTAACCTGGATTACCCCTTCCGGTGCCCATACTAGAGAGTGCCCAGTAGAGAAACCCTCAGCCAGAGGTGCGTGGAAGGGCAAATCTTGATATATTTATAGGCAACCATGAGAGCTACCTAGCGGGTGAATGTCTCGGGATCTATCGAACAGCAGAGCACAATGGGAATAAATAACAGAAGGTCTCAGGCTCTTGAAACTCCCACCCACCCACTACTTGCCGCGTAGCTTGCAGGGAGACTCATTCCCTACCCTGGTGTGTATCTTGTGTCGTACAAAATCACTGAAAAGACACCATTTCCGAACGTTCGTATCACTGGAAGTACTGGCTGCTACAACTTTCTTGGCAATTTGTTTCACTACAACAATAACTGACTTCTCCCTCAGACCTCTCTAAAATGCTTTGGATGGCACTCTCCAGTGGAAAGCATACCCTTAGTCACAGCTGGACAGCTCGAACCAGGAAGTACAAAATAACAGCATTGCAATTCTGAACACTTAGGAGCAATGCCTGTCCCTCAGAGCATTTGGTGCACTGGGCAGTCCCAAAGTTTCTCAGTTGGTTGCTTGGGAACTCCCATAAAATCATTTAAGGTACTTCAGCTCTCAGACCCAGGCCCACAACACTAGTCCATTCACAGTGTTCTTGAAGGATAGGACATCCACTGACTGTTCTATGCGAGGTGCCAGGAACACATTTCTCCACCCATCCCTGTAAGCAGAGTAGGACTTCTTGGGACAGGGGTACCCAGGGCTATCACTGCACTGGGTGGGAACCTGAGAAAAGTATAGGAGGCATGAATGTGGACTCTAGAGAGAAGTTGAGTGCTAAGAGAAAAGGAAGTTAAGAGACTTAGGGCCACACATCAGCTCTCTGACATCCTTTTTCTGTTGTTCTTTCTTTCAGACGCACAAGCCAGCCGGTTCCCTTTCTACCACCACCATCTTTTATTCTTGACCAAACTTCCCCTTTTCTTCTCGAATTGCCCAGCCCACAGAGGAGGAGCAGTCTCTTTATGCTCCTAGTCCCGATGCAAACCTCACAACCACTGACCATTCTAGATTTGGATTAAGTTCTTTGTTAAAAGAAAATTATTACAGTTAGCAGAAATGACCTTGAGAATTACCATTGCTGGGGATTGGAGGTGTAAAGGACTAATTCATGTGGGGTGGAGGTGGGGGAGATAACTGTCCTCTCCAGTTGTCTCCATTAGCTTAAATCTTTATTGGTTTCTTGCTTCCTTTTATGGCTTCCTACTCCCCTAAAATATGAAAGAACCAAAGGAACATAGCTCCGAGACTGCCTTACATTGCTTCTTTGCCTTTGCTTTTAGGGTGCTGTGACCATGAGACATCAATCAGGCCCCTGTGAACACCTTTCCTTTTCTGATGAGTACCTAATACCGCAGAGACTTTGAGGGTAATTGACTTTTAAAGACACAGTAGGGGAGTTCAGATGTTCGTAATT